GGTAAACATTTACATAGTGTACACATGTACATTACGTATATACACTCAAGAGGTGGGGTGGGGGGGGGGGGGTCTTGGCGCAGTGGTTGGTGCACTGCACGCTACGAACATGGCTACCTGAGTTAGGTTCCCGTCCACGGCCAACATTATCGGTGAGCGATAGCTAAATCAGATCTGGGGGTCCCCTCCAAATAAAAAAAAAACATACACCGACCAGCATGGCGAAGTATGATCAATAAACCCCCAGGACAGACCGACGCAGTCTGGTTGGAGACCATTTAGCAGTGTATTGACAAAGGGCTGTAGAACGCAACAAGGAAAGCCACACCACCTCCGATTAGAATGGTAGGCTTAGCACGGTGAGAAACAAGTTTAACACACTACACTAAACACTACATACTACACTAAACACGACACAACTATACACCACACCACAATACTAAATTGAAAACTCGTTTCATGAGAACTGATTTTGTCTTTCATGTGTAGTCCTTCCCCTGCATCTCCCGATTAGCACGGTTGGCTACGTACGGTACAAAAGAAGTTCAACGTGCACACAGACAAGGATCCTTCAGCAGAGTAATTTTTACCCGTTGTATTGTTTGCACCGTGCGCGTTGTGACCCGGGGATGACCTGCATGGGATCCGAGGCGCGGGGCGGGGGGGCGAGTGGGGTGTTCGGCAAGTCCTGCAATGCAAGAAGGGTGGAGCGGAGGAAAGTTCTGGAAAGAAGGCGGGTGGGGTGGGGACTTAAGAAGAGGGCTTAAGAGGAGGGGATGAAGCCAGGCGTGGGAGTGAGGCGCTGGTGGCATGGGGTGGGGCAGAGGACGCTCCAAAATAACAAAGGCCCGTGGGTAGATTAAACAATTGGTGCCCTAAAGTGGCACGTTGGCCGAAATGGCTCTAATTTTGGCTGTCTTGTTACGTGAGTAACCCTAACAGCCGAGTTGGTGACGAGTCGGGCCCGAAAGAAGGGACCCGTGAGGAGGTGGCGTTCCCCCCGCGTGTCATTGGGGGGCTTGCGTTGACTTTGCGTGCTGCGACCGGGGTGGGAATTTGCGATGGGGAAATCCCCACCGCTGTTTTTATTGGCTTTGGAAAACCCCGCGCGTTTTGAGAATATTTCGCTTGACATCCGCGGACCAAGTCGCATGTCAGACACCTACTTGCTGCACTGCACTGTACATGCACCATCTCGCCATCCTGGTCTCGTGAAAGTCGAGGGTGTGATCCGATCATCGTACCTCCAAATCACTTCCGTAGACTGGCATTATCTTGTAAGGATTAACTGAGTTTAGTTTACACGTGCCCCCGCAATGATCCGATCGAAATCCGTAATTTCGATCGGATCATTGGGGTTTATTAGTAATTTATCGGCATTTTGCGACCCCCACTGTGTAGCATATTATTATGTGCCAGGGACCCTATGAGATGATAGAACAATAGTCTGAGTCCATAATTGTCAATAAGTAACGGCAAAAAGCAGTTATAGAATTGTGCGCCGTTGTGTATACAGTACACGACTTCCCTGAAGGCAAACACCTTCAACGAGCGCGATGCCGATCACACAACGCGGTTCGAATTCGACCCTCGATAGATGGCTGCGCCATCGCCGCAGACGCGTCGAATAAAAAGCAATGGACAAGTCCTTACTAACAACGTCTATCATTTTTTAATTGCTGGAGGGGTTGCCCCCCCCCCCCCACCTGAAAATCCTGGCTTGGCCATTGTATTTATGTGGGGGGAAAGACGACAAACTAAGCACAAAAAAGCAAGCTCTAAAGAAATGAGTTTTCAATCTACATTTAAATGTGCGTAGCTCCAGTGGCTTCCTGATATCGGAAGAAAGAGCGTTCCACAGACGGCCGCAGAAGTGCATCTGAAAGCGCGCGATGCAGTGGCCGTCTTTTTGTTCGATAGAAGCTGCGAGGATGACCGGAGGTTCGCGTGCTCGTTTGTGCTACTCGACGCGATCAGCGAGGTTTTGTGGTTCATCTATGTTTTTTTTATCGATAACGAGTACGTTATAAAGCACGCGACACGTGTGAGAGAGAGAGAGAGAGCGCGGACGGTGTATTCAGTGGCATTGGCCACACCGAGCCAACTCCATTGAGTCTAAACATCGGGAGACGATGGAGGAGGAAAATCAAACCCGAGAATGAAGCTGGTGGACGCTTCGCAGCGTGCACGATTGCGCTCCGAGAGGGCACAACGAATCCCGCGACAGAACGAATGAATAAATGACGTAGAATTGTGGCTTTGCCAGGGGAGGCGTGTTTTTGCCCAGGCCACGTAGCTGAACGCGCCTCTGTGTCGCGATGCTTATCGCGGTAATTAAATCCTGTTGTGCCCAGCTGGAATGAACAACTCACCAGCCCACACCCCTCCCCCGTCCTCTCCCCACAAAAGCACAATCTTGAAAGAGACAAAGATGACTTAATGATTGGTACTAAAAAGTTTAATGAAGACCTCCGATTAATTTTCCACACGAGGCTGCATACATTGACATTGTGGCACTTATTTTTTGTCTTGCAGGGTCGTGTGCGTGTGGAATGAGGCACACGCTGTGTTCCCAGGGCTGTGTACACACGGCTGCCAATATCGAGAAATTCCACGCATGATTGATGAACGCCGCTTTATCGGCGCGGCTATCGGTCCCGGCTTGCCGAGTGTTCTTTCAGTCGCGCTCCAAAGCCGCCTTGATGTGGTAAGGGCCCCCCCCTGCCAGCCCCCCAAATTGACTCGAACCGTGCGATTGGGCGCTGTCAATTTAATAAAGGAGCGTGTCCCTCCCCCCCACCCCCGGGAGACGCGCGCATGATCGAAAGACAGAACACAGAGAGATACACCACCCCTACCGTGTTTAACTGCCGTGCACGCTGGCGTCGGAGCGAGCGATGTTTGCGAGCGCCTATTATTAAGGCTGGTTATGAATCACAGCGATGTGTGTGTGGTGTTTAAGACGAGACGCTTGCTGTTCGGTGCGAATGCCCCCATCAGCTAAATCACACAGAGGCATCGACTTTGCCGTAATATATATGTTGTATTTTACGGCTTGTGTTGTACACTTATTCGGTCGGTAATGTTCTCTTTTGAAAAGGTTTGGTCAGCATTGTTTATTTTTGTACGTGACTTGTTTCGCATTTATGGTTTTTAACTTTGCAGCCTTCGTAACTGAGTTCAGCGATCGGTGATCTGCACTGTGCTTTTGGTTTGTACCGCCATGGTGTCCGACGTTTCGCTCTACTCGCCGAGAGCTTCTGCAGAATCGTTAATTTAGATCGGACGACGCCACGCCGAAGAACAACCCGAAAATACAGCACATCCGCGATGAACCTACGCAGTACTGGAGATCCGTTTTAAAAAAAAGCTTTATAGCTCATCGGATTCCTCCAGTGTAAACAAATATCCTGATGCAAGTCGTCGTCGTTACAAGGTTGGCTCTGTGACGCGAGGAAGTGGCGCGTCGCCAGCGCCACGCAGGCCCGGGGCCCATCCTTGGTCTCCCCCATCGTCAATGATGTCAACGCATACAGAGCACGAGGTCCTTGTTGAGCCCATGGAGGGCCCCAGTGCATGCCAATGCCTCTCCGGCGTGCGTTTGGGCCGTCGCGCCGCATGCTCTTGGCCACGACAGTACGAACTTTTATTTTGCCTTCACGCTCTGGGAGGCTCCACGTGCTAAGCCACTTCCGTTGAGCTGTCGTTTGCGGCCAGGTCGCTTCTGAAAAAAAGAAGCTAATAGCTGGGTGGGCTTTACCTGGTAAAAATAATAGTTTGGATCTAGATGTAACATTTTTTATTTGATTTTCTTTCCTTTTTCCTATACTTTGCACTCATGTCGTGTTTTGTAGTGGTTGCTGTTGTACCTTTCTCACCCGCCCCTCGTGGACATCTGTGAAAGAGCTTTACAGCTCATCGGATTCCTCCAGTATACATAGAGATTCTAATTCTCAATACACTGGATAGAAGCGACCTCTAGATTGCTGATTCGATTCTGACTGTGTACAAATCCAGGAACAAAAATCTTACTTCAAGGCCCAGCACGGTGCAGCAGCAAAAGGTCGGACATCATGACAGAAAACCATGGTGTACTGTCCGAGGAGACATGTAACTTTCTAGCCCGCTCCTACTTGGACATCTGTGAAAAAGAGCTTCCTTACTCGTCGGTTTCTTCCATTATCAATACAGATTCTGAAGATTTAAGTGCAGATTTAGATTCTGATTCTGACATGGGAGAATCTGTAAAGCCACAAGCCCCACGGAGGGTGAGAAACCGCAGCATTAGCAATTGGCCCGATCTAGCCACGCAGAGTGACCTCATTTGTTTGTGTGTGGGGGGGGGGGGGGGGTCCATATATTCACTTTTATCACACACCCGTGTGAATTGCCATCTTCTAATCTCAGTTCATTAAATGTGATTAAAAATCGATTGGCTGTTATAGAGCGAAGGAAGGGACTTAAGTGCTGTTCACCCCATGACTGTGGAATAATTTACTTGCGGTGGCCTCTCAATACCTTGCGTTTTCTTTTCATTCCGGGAGCCTGAAAGTCACGAATTTGATCAAATCTCCCTTCGAGAGCCGTTCTAACGACCACTGCAATTCAGCACTTGGCGTCGCTGATGGAGGTGGCATCCGTAATGGCTTTTTTTTTGTATCGTCGGATGGAGCAATTTGTTTATAAGTGGCCTCGCAAACCGCAGCGAGGCACGCGCTGGGATGGTTGGAGGCAGCGTTGTTGGACACATTCTGCATGGCCCTCGTCATAACTGGCACGCGGCTATTGTATTGTCCTTTCCCCGTATTGACCGCGTGTTAAATGCTTATTGTCTCTAAAGTGCTTTGCGATGATGATGATGATTTTCAGTGGGCAAACGTCAGTCAAAGTAATCCCCCCGTTTCACAAACGAGCGTTGGGGAAGCGCTCGTCGCTATTTGTTGGCTCCGAGTCAGTCCTGGAAATTCCACATTTCCAACAATTGGTCGCTTTCCCACTTTTGTGTTGCAGACTTCAACCAGATTGTGCTCTGTTTTTGAGTGGTCCACAATGATGAGGATGATGATGATGACGACGATAACTACTCTGCCAATGATGATTTAAGCAAGATGATTACGACAGATGATTATGACATGGACAACAATGCTGTTGATGATGACAAGTATGGTGGTGGTGGTGGTGATGATATAACGATGACATGGTAATTATGATGATGTGATAATGACGATAACGATAATTCTGATTACATTTATGATAATTATGACTGTGGTGACAACCCTGGACAACATTTTAACTCGTCTGTTCATGATTAGGAGCCCTTTGCTGCCTAACCAACCGAGCCACACCCTCCCCTTATTATCAAAGGCACTGCATACAGAACATCGGCGATTGATCGTTTGTTTCGTCGCTGGCCTGGGCATGTCACAACAAATACAATGGAGAGACGGGGGGTACATATGTCTACCGCCTGTGCTACGACCTCACTTGATGATATATAACACAATGTTCAATCATAATTTGCTTATCCGGGAAAGTTGCACTAGGTCTTCGGAATGTTTATTTAGGAGGGCCCTGATGCATTGGATGTTTAATTTGAAGATGTGTTAGCCAGTTAATGACGAGTGTTTATTATACACGTGGGATAAAACCGGAGCACACGGAAGAAACACACACACACACTTGTGCGAGGGGGTAACGCTGTATCCCTGTGCAGATGAAAACAGATGGCGACAAGTCCACTCGCCGTACCGCCTCCTCCTGGCGAGCCAGGGAATGGCGGTCTCTTTGACGCACAGGGGGGAAGTGATTTTCGCAGCCCATCTGCGTGTGATCCACCAACCCTTGCTGCTGCCTCCACAGTGCTGGATCACAGGCAGGCCACGTGCAGCAGCGTAGCCACCACTTCCCGGTTTGCTGAATTCGAGAAAGAACGATCAGATTTTGATTCCCACTTTTAGAAATATACATGTTGCAAGACCCGAGAGACTGAATTGTTATTCAAGAAAAAGAGCACGTTCCATCGTGAGACAAGAATAACGTTAATAGTACAGTCTTCTTTATCCATATTCATTCATTTTGACTATTGGAACAATAAGTTTAGCCTGGAACATAAAATCCCTATTCTAACCGGTGTTTGGCATTTCAATTTCCTCTCGCCAGGTGTTCGCAATGCTTTTAATTAAACTTGTAAACGTGTTCAGCATGGGCCACGTTTAAGTCGGCTTAGCCACCCTCTGGATGATCTCACCGTGGCAGTGATTGCGAAGTGAGGCTCTCGTTTCGCTGGATTCTTGAAACGCTGCGAGCAGAGTTACGGCGAACCTGGAGGCTCATCTACGTACGTACATTACAGTATGTTGAACTGCTCTCGCACCGTACATAGCTAACAGCGCTAATCGAAGGTGCGGTGTCGAGTCTTTGGAAAATGAGTCCGTGGGTAGTGTTGAGACTCTGGGCAGAATGCATGTTGAACGTCTTTCGCACCGTACGTAGCCAACCGCGCGAATCTGCAGGGCTGCCACCGTCGGGGTGACTGCTCTCGCAGTCAGCTCTCTTGCCGCGTCCTCACGACTGCTGGGGAAGTAAGCGAGCCCGGGCCCTGCTGGTGCGAATTCAGGAAAGTGGGCGGATAGTCCTTACCGGGCCAAACCAGCACCAACCGCGATTTGCTTTAACCGGACTGCAAGGGCCGTCCACAAGGGGGGAGGGGGGCAGAGGCAATTGCCACGGGCCTTACAAGGGCGGGGGGGGGGGGGGGGCACAATAGGGTTGATTTTGTTTTGTTGATAATGAATAATGTTCCGTATGTATGTACGTATGCTGAACTTCTTTCGCACCCTACGTAGCCAACCGTTCTAATCGGAGCGTTCTTCTTGCGGGGCCTCAAGGAGCCCCTCTGGGCAGCCTTGCAGGGGCTGCGTGGCTCTTTGTAAAGGGAGCTGCGCACCCCCATGCCCTGGGTTGTGACCTTACGGGATCAACGTGGAAAACAGATGCGTGATCATGAGCACCTCTCGCTTAGGTCAGCGTCAGGGCTCGTACAATATAATTACGTTTTAAATGTATTAATTTGTGTTCATTCAAACGGCCTATGCATTGCTTTAAGGCATCGGCAGCAGTCGTAGATGAAGGGCATGCGCAGGCCGTTGACATCTATCACCGCTAGAAATGTCGTGGACCCTTTGACCAAATCACCGGGAAATGCGCTCGGTCTTGCCGGAGGTCAGAAGCGAAGCAAGCTCGAGTCGGGACCGTGCCTGGGGGGGGATGGGCAACCACCACGCGCAATAGGCGTTGCGTGCGGCAGAGGGCAGAGCAGCGAAACTCCATCGTTCCTCTGCATTCCTCCCACCTTCCGCGAAGCCACGCTGACCAGCGTGGTGAAATATGGTGAAAATCATCTCACTCGAAGGCTCCACAAGGTGCGGGGGAAGGTCCGTCGTGCAGCGGTGGATTGACACAAAAGGGGCCTTGTCGAGTCGATTGAAGCTGAATTCGTGTGGGTTAAAAGAAGAAAAAAACGAGTTCTATTTTCCCCTTCGTTGGGCTGCCGATGTTTTATTAATCGCGGTACATTTCCGCGATAGTTTCTGCAGCATTGGGTTCCACTCAATTTGCGAGCGGGAGCCCCCACAACTCATGAATGAGCAGCGGCGGGCTGACATTAACATAGACGAGCCCGAAATGAAACAATGCCTCCCTGATTGGTAGCCGTGTACAGATAAACGGGGCGGGTTAGTTAAGGGACCGTGATTTAGGTTTTTAATTAGAATTTAATGGGCCGCACATTATTGTATTTTATCTTCATTACTGGACAGCGGGTCCAGATTAAGTGGCATTGGTGTAAAGCCACGGGAAGTGATGGGGGGGGAGAGGCCTGGAATGAACAAAAGTTTTAGGCAGATTCTTGTCTGTTATACTAATAATAACAATTATTATTATTATATAATGACAATAATGTGCAGTTGTTTCGTCAGTCCACTGCTGGATGAAGGCATTACCGGTCATGGGCGTTTGACGACCCTTCATCATGCTGGTTAGTGCAGGTTTTTTAAAGCAAGTCGTGGCCGGCAATCGAACTGAGGTTTTGTCGTCCCTAAGTCAGTGGTGGTAATTCCAAATGTATACGGTGGGCTCTCGTCTGTCCACAGTTACTTATTCAAACGTTCTGTTGAATTTTCACTAAGTTGGCCCAGCCCTATGAGGTGGTACTCATTATACCTGTTGTTGAAGGAATGTGATGATTGAGTGAAAATTTGCATATAACTTTTCGATGTTGTTGATATTCATGCAGTTGATTGTTGGTGGTGATGGTGAGTAATCATGCATGATGATTGATTATAGGGGTGAAGGTGATGGCTCATGATGATAGTGGTGGTGATTCATGATGATGATGACTAATTTGATGATTGCTAATGATGATCGTGGTGGCGGTAATGATGATGGAGGATGGGCGACAGGATTGAGTCAACTTTGGGACCTGAAGCCATGCAATAAGAAACGAGGGCTTTGATTCTCTACTACCTTAGCATTGTCTGTGCGTTTAAGCACAATTACATTAATATATATGACCAACTGGAGTTTTTATATGCGCACGCTATGCATATGTTGTTTTTAAGACTTACCTAGAGATGGACAATTGAAGTATACGTTAAAAATGAATGAACCTGATCTCGGAAAGGCCATCGAAATCATGTACTATTTACATATCTGGGGCAGAGCAGTGGTGCAGTGGTTAGCGCACTTATTAATCTCGTAACCTACGTTAAGATTGCCGACCACGGCTAACATCAGTAGCTAATGACATCTGAACCAGTCCGGAGCCCTCGCCAACCCACACTCACCAGCCATTGTACGCATGTATGTAGAATTTCATTTGCACCGTACGTAGCCAACCGCTCTCATCGGTTAAACAACCCCCGTGACGGCATGGGCATGCCTTCATCCAGCAGTGGCTTGATAAAGTTGCGTTTATTTTTTATTCATGTGATATCTTGCGCGTACACACACACACAAGCTAAGCATCCTTCAAGTCTCAGAGACTTTAAAAAATCCCTTTTCTTTTGTCTACTTTGAAGTGACAAATGAGACTTCTTTCATCCTTTGCTCTCCGCAATAAACCGATTTCTGATCCCACAAAATAACGTTTGGATTAAGGAGATGGGACTGTGCGGTTCGCGTGTGAGTGGGGCGGGCGGGCGCGCGCCCCCTCCAAATATTTAACAATGCCGCCTGTGCGTGCACACACACACACAGAGAGAGAGAGAGTCTCTGCTTAAATTCCAGTCGGCTTCGCGAGATTAACAAACTGTCAAATCTGTAAATTACATTTAACTTTTCCCAAAAAAAAAAAATTCGTGGGCGGCGCACTATATTATGCCGCGCACGTCAAGGGACACCTTAAAAGGGCACTTCATTATCGCCGTACACTTCACAGGCATCGGACACAAGGAAATGATTTACCCAATGCGCTCCGGTGATATTTTCTGTATTGGATCCCCCCCCAACCCCCCCCCCCCCCTTCTGTCTGTGTCAAATCGAGAAGAAAAAAAACATCGCCCGTCAGTTTTTTCTGATTGATAAACGTGGCAGCACCAGCGTTCACAAAAAAAGAGAATGGGGAGGAGAGAGTCCGACAGAAAAGAGCAAGGGGGGTGGGGGGGGGTGCACACACACAAAAAGTAGTTTTGAGTGGAGAAAATAAAAAATAAATCTGTCCGCAGCGATTTGTAATGGTTGGCGGTGCTCTCGCTGACACTGAGTAAGTGGGCAGCGGTGGCCGGGGTCCCGAAGGGGGGCGAGACACGAGGGGTTAAGGGGATGTGATGAGGGCGGCTAGCAGGGGAAGGGCTCTGTCAATCGGACGAGGGAGCTCATCGATGAGTCCGCTGTCAATGCAGCCTCGTCCATCGAGACGCCGCTCCACTGACACAAGTCCACCCGGGATGCGTGGCCGGCCCCTCCACTCACCCTCTGCATCGCTCCCGTTGGATCAAAATCACTGTTCATTATCATCAGTCATGATCAATCTACTGCTGGCTGAAAAGCCCCCCCCCCCCCCCCCCACACAAAAAAAATTCCATCGGTCTTGCAACGCAACAATCCATCGATCCTTAACGTAAGCGTCCATTTTAGAGCTTCATCTCCGCAGTTGTCCACCACCCTCTGGGATGGGGCAGGCGGCCTCCTCCCGGTTGCCACTCGTTCGTTAGCGGTGACCACCGGCCACCATCCCTTTCTGCGGTGTCCTTTTCCAGGCCACGTCTCTCTCCACTCAACGTGACCTCTCGAACCTGCGCGTACGTTCTCTCAAGGTGCCACCGCCATAAGCACATTCAACACCGATCCACCACCTCCCCCGCCAACCCGCTCCCTTCTGGCGTTCTAAAATCGCTTTTTTTAATTATCATCGTCAGCAGCAGCCATGAGCAATCCACTGCTGGATGAAGCCCCTCCCCAAGCTGCCACCACCTGTTGTGTATGTATGTTGGACTTCTTTCGCACCCGCCGTAGCCTATCGGAGGTGCTGCGATGGAGACTCGACGTTAGCTATTAATTTACATATATTCAGTGAGTTTGTCCTCTGCATTGTTTATCTCTCTATCTCTGTACACGTTGCCCTCCACTCACTTGGCTGTACCCTCCTATCTCCTTAACCCCCTTCGCGCCCCCTCCTCCCCCCCTGTGTTTTCTCTAAAAGCTCTGTAAATATTTCCGCTTGTCAGTCGCCTGCTAATCTATCGAGCGGTGGCTCTCGCAGGACAAGGGGGGGAGGGGGGGTCCGTGGGGGAGGGGCGGGGGGAGGGACATTGCGAGGTGACCCCCTCTACCCACACTTACCCCGAACCGCCTCGTCTCCAAGCCGCATCACCCTCCCGGCATCTTCGCGGTCTAGGAGAGAAGATCAAATATAAAAATTATCATCCTGTGGTTAAAATAAGCAGTGCAGGCATTAATCCAGGGCACATTCCTAACCCCGCAAGGCTCCTCGCGCGTGACTTTTAATTACCTTTGATGCTGTTTGTCGGTCCTTTTATGTTAAATGATAATTCTGCGGAGCAATCATCAAATTCGTGTGCTTCAGGAAATCTGCATACGGAGAACCTTTTCAAAGCAAATGGAACAGCATTTGGTCTTTTGTGTCGCGGTTGCTATTATTGTGTGGGGTATTCCCCCCCCCCCCCCTCGCTCTGTATTTGTGTCCTCAAGGAATTCGGGACCTCAAGAGGTGTGCCCGCTTCTTGGCTCTGATTAAATATTTTACAGATTGTATTGTTGCGTTAAAAGCTTAAGCAAAATCCGCTTAATTCTGAAATTGCAAAGATGTGCATAGACGCGCGTGATTAAACCTTCTCGCAAAGGACTCGACGATTTATCGAGGCGATATAAATTATCCCAGTTTCGAAATAACTTCGCTCCATTATTACCCTGGTATAGAGTCGGGGATAACTTTTGAGGGGAATCTAAACACTTCCCAAGGGCCCTACATTAATAACAAAGCACACACATGCAATGTTATTTTGTCTGGTACAGTAAATATCAATAAAACACCAGTTTTCGAGAGTCTCAAGAGGAATGGTGATACCCCCCCCCGCCTCTCCCTCCATTGGATCTGCCATTGCGAGTGAGTGACGTGATACTGATTTTCGAAGTAAACATTTAAATATCAGGATTATATTTGAAATTTCAGGTAAAATTGAGTTTTTTTCGGATTGCTCCACAATGTATGATGTCTGAGAAAATGGCGTCGCTTATATGACGTCACTTTTACAAAATCGGTGGCACGTGGCAGTTTGGTGATATCACTTTTGTGAGCATGAAGACGCATTCAAGTTGACGACAAATATTAAGATAACGAAATTGTTCTTAGAGATCTCAACATTTTAATGAGAAACAAAGCTCATTCCTTGTTACGCGTGTGTGTGTACAGTCTGTAATTAACCTAGGTAACTTTGACTGTCGTGCACTGCACTAACCCAGTGCTGCACGTGACTTTTTAACTTTGTACTTGCGTGCGATGATTTTGCTCCTTTAGTCATACCATGTACCCTTAAGTCAGCACAGGAAGGTCTTGAACTTGTTTTACAGTATCTGCACCCGTAGACTTTTTCCATCTGATGTACCGGGCATGAACAAGGGAGGAAAAAAATGTTTTATTAGCATCTTTTACATTAACCAGGAATGAAATCTCTAGCTTTATAGCCGCCCTCGGGCACAAGAAAGTATTAACTTTATTAAAAGCTGCGTGGACGCCCGCCACCTTATTATGGCCGATTTAAATGTAAAAACGTGCCGAAGGACCTAAAGTGCCGTTGCTATCGCGCATAAAATATTTTTTTCTTATGTTCACTGCCCGGAGGTGGGATTGGAGGAGGAGAACGGGGTGGGGTGGTGGCGAGTGGCTCGGGGTTTTAGGCTACATTTTTGAAATTGGGATTCTACACAATTTGGCATTAACCCGATGCTGCTGCTGCTGCCTGCAGAAGATGCTGCTGCTGCTGCTGCTGTACAGAAAATTACGTCAGGTTCCCGGCTACCGACTTAAAATCTACGCGGTCTCCGCGATGCTGGGGGGGGGGGGGGGGGGTGTGGGGGAAGCCTATGGCAAGAAAAGGCAAAAAAAAACAACCCTCAGCGCCGGTGGCTGTCATTTTTCTGCCGCTACATTCTGCGTAAGCGGCCGCGTGATGGATTGTGCCGGCCCATCCGCTTTGCGAGGTTTTATTGCCATTTTCCAAGTGGCTCTCCTGCCCAGCCTCAAGCCTCCCAATCCACCTTCCACCCGCCTCCATCATCCACCACCTTGCAACCTCCCTCCCTCCCCCCAAGCACCCCGTCCCCCACCACCCAACCTCAGCGACTCTCTCGTCCAAAAATGTCTGAGCTCCCCCACCACATACAAGACCTCGCCACTCCCCCCACCCCCCTCTCCACACACCTCTCCCACTCCGTGGTAAAGCTCCCCACCTACTCGCCCATCGCTCTTTGTCCATCTCCCACAGATTGATGGGCCGGGCTTCCTGACAAATGGTTGCCAAGAGGTGGGGAAAGTATTAAGATGCTGATGAGGAGAGGGCAGGGGCGATTCCTGCAAAGACATCCATCATAGCGCTCCCAAAAGTCACGACGGTATATAATTGAATGTGTCACAGTAGCGCAGAGGGCAGATTAATGTGGCAAAGTGGAGGCTTAAAGCTTTTTTTTTCCTGGGCACTCTTCCCTTCAAGCGCGCAAGTCCTTGCCTCTGATGCCGCTGCCACCTTTTTTTATTTGTCCGATGCCAGCAACACTTGGATCGTGGCTGTGCCAGTCGGCAAAAAGGAAGGTGTGACAGGAGCTGAAACGCAACAATAGATCGCCAGTTTTTGTTGTTGTTCCGTTTTTAGATGTTGTTACTGTTGCTCGCGCTGCAATTTTATTTCTTTACAAACACGGGAACGACACTTCGGTGACGCGATTCATTGTTGCGTCTTCATTTGAATGACCAATTTTATTGTGTTAATTAGCGGCCTCCAGTGGTTGGAGGGGGTTACCTGAACACAACATGTATAACATTTAAAAAACATTATTACGTTCTATTTGATGCATGTGATATGAGCTTAATAATCAATATTCATTGATGAATTGATACATCATTGCACCTCGTGTCCGTGTAGCTTGTACACAGCATGTACAACAATTATTGTATACACGGGAAGCGTTACATTGTATGGTTCATTGTGCAGTGATTTTCTAGGCTTTAGCTGAATTCCACCAAAAGCTATGGGACTTATTTTCTATTTCCGATACTGCTCGGAATTTGATTAATCTTTTATTAATATTTAGAGTCAAATCTCGTTTTGCTAAACAATTTGCACACAATTCCTGTACTTGTGTTGTGCTCTTTATGCTGTAATATTTCTATCCAGGTCTCCCTTGAAAATAAGACGTTTCATCTGAATGGGCCCCCTCAAAGGACAACAACAACAATTGGAACCTATCCAAGCCCCTCCCCCACCCCCCAGGTCAATTCATTCACGTTGTAGCAATGTGTCGTCAACAACAACACCAACACTTGAGGAGATGGTCAGCTAGGTGCGATTATTTGGACCACCAATTCGGGCGGCATACAGAATTAATACGACATTGTTGTGTTGATGACCAGCGTCCACCGAGAGCTGACAAGCATTTGACATGAACATTAATTCTACACACTGCTTAATTTACCCACTCAATATGTTCCAGGACCGCTGGTGGACTGGAGTGGGTACGTGACTGCGAGCCACAGCCACAAAGCGAGAGGTAGGTGGTTTATCAGCCGTGGAAGCATTTTCAAGAATTGCCGACTTGGTCAGAACCGACTGAAATTAAGCCCTGACCCGACATTGACGAGGCTCCTCCTACACGCACACAGTTTTACTTGGCGATAGTTCGTGTAGTTTTGCTATCCCTCCATTGAAGGCCTGCTAGCCGTGAGATCGCTTCAGGAAAGAGAGAGAGAGAGTTCATCGTCGTCTCGCTGGCCCTCCGTTGAAGGAGTGCGGACTACAGTGGCCGGTTCTACGTCTGTGGCTTCTCGCTGAGAGAAAGGGTGCGTGCCGTGGGCCCCCAGGCTTCGGGGTGGCGCCTTCACGCGGCGTGACGCGCACTTTAAAGGTCGTAATCTCGACGAAGCTCCGCGTTTCATTAGCAAACGCACTCACGCCGCAAGTGAATTTTAACGCATCTGCCGCCCGAGAGAAAGAGAGAGAGCGCGCGAGAGAGTGAGAGACACGCTGCCGTTTTTTTTCGTCTTATTCTGCACAAGGTCGGCGAGCATCGGGTCGCTTTGGAAGGGGATTCGGAGTGGGGGGGGGGGGCTCGATCGATGAGACGGGGCACACGTGGCTGTTCCGGCTGAAAGGTCGTGCCCCGTTCGGGGTCTCGCCGAGAGGTGATGGTAGCAGCTGCTTCTTAACCTCCCACTGCCCCCCCCCCCTACATAAATCAATTTGTGTTCCCAGTCTTTATTGGCTTGGGTTAGATTCAGTAAATATTACGATTGTAGTAATGTAGCGTTGCACGGCCATCCTCACGGATGCACAGATGAGGTGGCCAGGAGATGGAAGTGCATTACCGGATTCTTTAAACTATCTGTGCAGAGCTTTAAGTGTTATGCCTTTTGTATTTGTGGTGGCATTCTTGGGATTCTCTTTTCGTTCCCACTTGAAGCCAAAACACTCAATGCAATTGGCCAAATATCCCAGTGCGGGACATGCATGTAGTTGCCACGGTGGCGAGATGTTAACTCCCTCGCCTGGTATGCAGGAAGTCGTCGTGGGTTTAGTTTCGACCCTGACCTCTGTATATTTAGAGTTTGCATGTTCTCCCCGTGGTCGCGTGGATTTTTCTCCGGGTCCTCCAGTTTTCCCCTCCATTTGGAATCAACATCGTGCTTTTATAGTATTTTGCTGCTATACACTTCCACTTGATGATGAGCCACTTCGTCGAGCTATTATTTGTGCTTGAGCTACATGGCTCAGTGGGCCTTACTCGGTAAAATAATAAAACAAAGCATGCGAGTCGTGATACTCGTTGAGGTTTTTGGGAGTGCATTATTTTCATGCAATAGATTAAAAAATATTTGCTTGCGAAGTAAGTTAACTTATTTTCGAATGGCGCAATACACTGTTACGTTTATGTTGAAGCTTTCCGAAAACATTAGAATTTTATTTCCAAAATATAAAACGCCGAACGAATTGAATGGCTTGTGCGAGAGCGCGGGTGAGCGTAACAAATGAGAGTCGGTGTCACGGTTGCCGAGGGAGATTAGGGGGGGGGGGCATTATTCCGGGTGGGCTACGTGGATTTTGTATGGGGGTAGAGTTGTGTGGGTGCTGTGAACTCCTAGTTCCCGAGTCAAAAGTCTTGGCCATGGCCCAACGTGAGTGGCGCGTGACATCGGTGCGGGTTCCCGTGGGCTTCCTCATTCACCGACCTCCATGAGTAGCACGGTCTGTGGAAGGCCTTCATCCAGCAGTGGATTGACACTCGACTCTGGATTGACGATATCATTATTATTATTTGTCCATATCGGTTTAGCATCATCAATTAAGTTACGTTAAGATGATACACAGTACGCTTGTGGAGTATTTTTGAGAAGCCAGCTATTTGTGGGGAGTGTTATCCCCCCCCCCCCCCCCTCATAAGCTTGGGTTTTTTTCCCGCGCTGAGGTTTTTCCCCACGCGAAACAAAAATAATTTAAAATAGCCAGACATCCCTATCAGGAATTATTCCGATTTGAAAAAGTCTGAGATTTATTTGAGACTTTCTTGCATAAATATATACAGCATCAATCTGAGCGGTGAGTATATTTACAGTAAATATACGTGTGCTTTTAAAATCAAGATTAAAATATAATTAATTTCACTAGCCTGCAACCTGCTTAACGATGTATGCTAATAAAGACATGTCCACCCATATAACCCACACTGACTGTTGGCGAGCACCTATTAAGGTCGGCATGCCGCTCAAGAGGGGTTGGAGTGGCAAGCACCACGCCTGGCCACCGCCACCTCCCAAGGGCGCTGATGTTTACACACCGCACCAGCTACCCATTTAGGTCTGAGTTGACCTCTGAGAGGCTCAAGTATCACTCGCCACTGATATTTTAGCCGTGGCCGGGGATCGAACGCAGTCTTCGCGAGTTCGTAACACGGTTCGCTAAACCATTGCGTCACCGCTCCCCACAGACGGTCAACTCGCACACACCTTGCTGAGATTTGGAAGCTCACATTAGGGCAAGGCATGGGTTAAATTCAAAGCCGCACCGGACGATCATCCGGGATTTACTCAAGCAGCTAATTGTGCAGGATACTTATAGATAAAATTTATTTATTTAGAAATTTAAATCAATTTAACATTTAGCGGACGGGTTGGCCTTGTTAGAGAACGGAGCTGGGTTTTCCGGGGGGAGTGGTTGTGCGAATCCGGATGTAAAAAAGAAATGAAACGACTTTAAGCGCGAATCCGCGGCTCCGTTACTCCACCGACGGAGCGCATCTCACCGGGGAGTTTTGGTCGGCAGCCGTCACTTCGAATCGTCACCACATGGCAAAGTGAACTTCCCCGTGGCAACCAACCTCTCTTTTAGCCGATCTCTGCTCTGAGAAGGTTCATTTGGCCACTGTTTGAACGTTGGTTCATTTTCGTAGACGCTTCTGTGATGGCGCGCAGTACGCGATTATCAGGGGGAGCGACGATTCTATCCCCGTCGGCAAATTCAGTTAATTATCGCTGCTCGCAAGCGTGTAGCTAAACACAGCTGTAATGGAGGAACACACCTCTGCAGATGGGCACACCCACCTGTATGAAGGTGGCCACCTGTATGGATAGACACACCTGGAATGGAGGAACACACCTGTATGGTAAACACACGTATTAAGGATCACAACTATATCGATGCGACATCTGCATCAAGAGAAACCCAGTATGCTGTTCGCTTTCACTAACCCGTCCACACTGACCATTATGGTGAAGTGTGGTCAAAGTAACTTTCACGGTCAACATGGCATGGGGATGCCCTCATCCAGCATCGGATTGACAAAAGGCTATATATGTCACGTGCACCAAGGTCTCGGCGAACTTGAAATATATTTGAAGAGCGTTTTGCTAACAATGGTTATGCCAATACATCGCAGTGTGTGCGGTTGTGTTTTTATTTACACATTACAAAAAAAAACCGCACAACTGCTGAAGCAGCAGTAGCTGCTGCTGCATACAGGGTGATATGTGGCAGGCCTGACCCTGGGGCTTAGCGAAATGACACCGAGGGCGAAGCACATTCCGGGGACGACTTAAATGTCATGCGCATCAGGCCACGAGCGTCGGGAGGCGCCGAGGAAAAACGCGCCTGCGTTTGGAGCTCCCGGTAGCGCACGGCAAAAGCATCGCACCCTCGTTCCCAGCAGAAGCAGCAGCAGCAGCCACTGGCGTCGCTCCATCCAAGTTAAATAAAGGACACTGACCGACTCACTTGGCTGGAGACAAAATCGAAACTGGACAATTTTATTAACAAAGACAAAGTCCTTGCCACGTGGTGGGGGGGTGCAAGGGTTGAAATGGAACCCCTCGATCCAATGTGTTCCCCCTCCTCCACTCTCTCCATAGCCCGGTGTCTGGGTGCTCTGCAGCCCACGGGCCCTGGTGCAGTTGCACCGCCTGCACACCCTAGCGAGTAGGTGCGCTGCTGTGTATATACATACATACATACACCCGGTACTTTGGATACATCGATACTACGATTCCGCATACAATTACCGGTCCGAAATATTGCTATCCGTTAAATTGTATATGGAAGCTGTTACCACGAATACAGCTCTGAATTACGATGATATTTCGGGTTAGATCGGCAGAGGTGTAATTTTAGCTGGAGTAAACAAAAAGCACATACACCTGTTTGCAATGACACGCCTATTTCGAGAAACACACCTGTACGATTAACACCTGCATGTTGGAACGCACCCCGATATAGATCGTGAATCGATTTCGGGCGGATTCCTTCATGCGGCTCGCATTCAGCAATCCACGCTGAGCGTCGCGGTGAGTAAACTAATTGTGAATGTGTCGTCTGTATTGCAAAATATTGTTGTATTGTCGCTCGCCTAATGTTTTAGGATATGGTATTTGCCGATAACATATTAGTGAATGACAAACACGAAAATGTAAGATGTAAATAATTCGTTATATGTAAGCATGCATTTCCCTGCAAACACGACTTAACGTTAAACCGAAGCTGTTGTAGCAGTTGAATTCATTTATTGGTTTGTATCTGACAGCACGTGCGTTGATAAGTACCATATAGATGTATTTAAATGTGCAGTGATTATTAGACGTACTGGCCGTGAATGCAGCTGACATTTAAGTGACATCATCACAGGCTTTCCCTCGCATTCGAGGATGATTGTCTTCCATAGACAAAGTTGGATTATCTGCGGGTCCGAAGTTGGCTCAAGAGGACCGATCTGGGATCCACAGAATTCTGCGGCAGCTCGTGTACATTTGTCGAGAAGGAGGACGCGGGAGTGTTGGCGTGGAACTGCATTCGTAAGTCGGTGCTGCAGCGTTGCTGCTTCCGCCGTTCCCGCTTTTCCTCCGGCTGTTTCGGCTGTTGAGTTTCAAAATTTTATTTGACGCTTTCGTGACTGCAGGAATTGCTCTTTGGGTTTTCGGTAAAGTCACGCGGACATAAGAAACAATAAAATTACATAATAGCATACTACATAATAGCATGCGACGTTTCGATTGCAACGCAAGCAATCGTCATCAGGCACAGAAGAGCTAAATTTAGATGTCTTATATATGTGTCTGCGATCTGTATTCTATCACTCCCTTAAGTTTAGCAATCCTTAGAGGAACGTATTCAGCCAGGTAGAGTGACTGTTATGTTGGCCGGCTATCTACGCTGTATTGTTTTATATTCCTCTCTGTGTCTCTGCGTCTTCTCTCTCTACTTGTATGTCTGTCTTTGTGTCTCCGTATGTCTTATCTCTCAAATTTCACACTTAACTTATAATTTAGCAATCTTTGAAATAACGTAATCAACCAGACCATGCGTCAATTGTGTTTTGACCGACCCTCTGTGTTGCATTATATTGTTTCCAAATTTTACTAAATCTTGTTCGATTTAGTGTGCTTCTCCATCTCTCTTTGTCTCCCCTACATGCTAAGGCCTCGGCACAGAGACCCTGTCTCTCTGTGTCCCATACGTGTGACTCTCTTTGTGTCTCTGTGTTAACTCCCTCTACTTAGGTGTCTGTATATATGTCTACGGTTCTGTGTTTCCTCTCTCTCTTAAATTTAGCTCTTCTGTGCCTGATGATGATTGCTTGCGTTGCAATCGAAACGTCGTATGCTATTATGTAGTATGCTATTATGCAATTTTATTATTTCTTATTTCTACGTGACTTTACCGAAAAACCAAAGAGTAGAGTTTCAAAATATTTAGATCCTTGAAATAGACTCTGTGTGTGTGTGTGTGTCTGCAGCTGAGGTGATCCTGGGCCAAGAGTCACCCATGAGTTGGTGTCGATGGAGGACTTCTTCGTGTTGGCCTTGAGGACGACATCCTTGAAGCGCCATCTCTGCCCGCCCCTTGAAGGCACACCCCGAATCATCTTGGAGTTGGAAGGCTTTGCTGCTTCGGGAGTCTGGAGTTGGACATAGAGACGACATGGCCGGCCCAGCGAAGCTGATGTCGAACGATCGTGGCCTCAATGCTCGTGGTGTTTGTTTGCGAGAGGACGCTGATGTTTGTAGTGCGTCTGTCTTCCCACCTAATTTTAAGGATTTTCCGCAGGCAGCGTTGATTGTACTTCTCTAGCGCTGTTGAGATTGTCTCCTGAATGCCATCTGCGTCTCGGCTCTGTACAGAAATGGCAGAGATGAAGTGGGCGTACACAGTGACCATACCGAAAGTACAGCAAAGCAAACAGTCTCAACAAAACCCTCTCTCATGGGCATGACATGCAGCACCGCAGTCGTGAGACATCGGGGTGATTGCCAGCTCTTGGGACGCGATATCGTCGTGACAACCCGAATAGCAGCTACGCTCACTGGCTGCTGCTGCTGCTGCTGCGCCTGCTTCTGTCACTGCAAGGGCATCTTCCGGTGACAGAGGTGACCGGCCTCTGTGCTGATGTTAGAAACATCGTACCGCCAGATTTAAAATGTTCCCCCCCCGTCCAGTACCCAATTAGTGCCGCTAAAGATGCTCGCGGTGGCAGATGAATGCCATTTTTTTTTGGGGGGGGGGGGGTTTCGAAGCGCGTCAGCCTCTTGTGGCTGGAGGCCGTCGGGTTTGCCCGCACCTTCGTTAATACGAAGGCCGTGAGAACCGAGAGCCGGGGGTTAACATGGGACGGGGGCAGATTTGCCGGTCGATGGAAGAGAGCGGGGGGGGGGGGGGGGTGTTGGCTGTTTTGATGGAAATGTCTCAGTAGTTCCAGGACATTCCCCAAACACGTGGCGAGGGGGCGAGAGAGCGTTATATGGATTGGTGGTCACTTAATTTATGTCTCTGACGCACTAAAGCCATTCTTGACCCAGCACTCAGCTCTCGCTCTCCGTCTCGGGCTCTCTCGTTTTGTTTAATTAGCCAGAGAGCTGCGATTCTGCGGCCGTCTCGTGCTTGCCTCTGCACGCACGCACGAGTGAGTGAGCCAGTGTCTCTATTCACGCACGAGGAGCGGTAGTAGTGTAGTGCTTATCGCGCTGCGCTCCGAACACCCGACGACCCGAGTTCGATTCCCGCTCACGGCCAGCACCATTGACGATTATCTGAACCGGTCCTGGGCCTCCCCTAGGTCGACTCGGCCTCAAATTTGTACCTGGTGCGGTGTGTAAAAACATCGCCACTGGGGAGATAAAGGCGGTCGGGGGTGGTGCTGGCTGCCCCCACCCCCTCGTGTACCGTGCCGCCCTTCATAGGAGCTTGCTAACAGCGCTTGCCCCAACAGTCTGTTCAGGCTCTACGGGGGGAGTCTTTGTATACGCATGGGGAGCGGTAGTGTAGTTGTTATCGCGCTGCGCTCCGAACTCCCGGCCACCCGAGTTCAATTCTTGCTCAAGGCCGACACCAGTAACAATTATCTCCACCTGGACCTCATCTAGGTCAAAATGAGCCTAAAATGAGCACTGCACCTGGTGCGGTGTGTAAACACCGCCAGTGGGGAGACAAAGGCGGCCGGGCGCGGCGCTGGCCGGACCTCCCCCCCCCCCCCCCACCAGCTGGTGTGCCGTTCCGGCCACAGCACTTCGTCCACCAAAAGTCTGTGAAGGCTCCACGGTGTATCATCTTTGTCGCGTGCGCCGAGGCACAAGAGGAGCCGCCTGCACACGACCCCGGAGTGTGTGGGGAATGGAAGCCCCCCAACTCCCCCCGCACCGCGAGCCACGCGAGCCACGCGTGCGGTGCCCGTGATGTGATGTGGCATTTGGATCACAGAAATTGCCGGTATCGATCAAACACCGCCTGTCTCGGCGAACACACACACACACACAACGTCCTTTGGAGAGAGAGAACTTTTCACGGATGGAAAATACTTTTTGTACCTTGTTTATCCTGCAAACACGTTGCCCTTTGTATGGTAATACGCCCGCTTAACATTTCTCACGGGAAGTTCACACAGCCAGTTACGACTTCTTTTTTTGACCATCGATTCCGCTCACACCCCCCCCCACCCCCCTTTTATACCTAATTAGCCAGTAACGCCTCACGTTACTAACGTGCATTCAGTATTAATAACGCATTAATTACAATCTCGAAGCAGGGCGAATGTTTTATTCACGTATCCTTAACGTGCTCATATATTAGTAACCGCTCGATAATGTATTCATAAGTGTTTTACAAGCTTCGCAGTGAAAACACTGCATGGAGTGTATTCACCGTTTAAGTGCGAGGATATTAACTTCAAGCCAAACAGTTGTTGTTGTTGCACTGCAGAACTCTCTAATTGAGGCTGCACATTGGCGACAAAAAAATAATCTACAAAAAATAGAAAATGTAACTTTAATTGTTGATAATACGCTGGAGTGGATTCGTGGGTGCACGTTGTTAATGCACAACACCGCGGACGCGCTCAACCCGGCGATGACCTAAGTTCGACCCCAGCCACGGCTCGCCGAAGTCGAGCAGGCCATGTGAACATGTACTGCCTCTGACCAAGCGCCCCCCCCCCCAACCCCCTCCTCTTCCCACTCACCAAACTGTACTGACCAGCATGGTGAAGTATGGCCAAACACAACCCCCCCTCTGCCCCCCCTCCCATGACTTACAAATCAGCAGATGTGGATTGACAAAGTGTTGGCATCTATTTTTGCTTAGCTCTAACGATCATTTTAAATAATGCAACATTGGCAATGATAGTGTTGTTTTGTGTGAACTCGAATTGTGAATATTTATTTAAATTGCGTGTTCATTTTATAATTAATTTTAATAATGACACGCTTTAAATATTTTCTTTACAGTAAAATGTAATTCCCACGACTCTGAGCAATGATGTAGCTCATCACTATTCATAGTCGAGAGCCAGTGATGTAAATTCCACAGCATGGTGGGGTTGAGTCTTTTTAGTTGACGCTGGGCCAATGCTGAGATAAGTGAAATCTTCTAACTTTAAAGAAACATGTTTTCCCTATGCAATTATCAGTGACCGGGCTGAATTTCCCTTTGTGTTTTAAGTTGGCTCAAAGGTCAGAGCACCGAGCCATGACTATTCAGATGCTGGATTTTGAATCTCGGCAGCCACCCACGATGAAAGCGACCTCTCAAGATGAGCGAGTTGATCGTCTCAGCCCATTCATACCGAAGACTGCACAACAGAGAGCATCATGCTACATTTGGTTCCGCACTTAATTTGGCTACATTTCCAGTTATCGGAATTAAAATGATCACTTTTTGACTTCCATGCGACAAACAACCTCGTAGCAGTGCGTGAGCAAATGCGCCCCCTCCTGGGTAACTGATGAAACAGCCACCCAAAAAGTTTCTTTTTTTACAGATGCCTTTTGAAAGAATCTCTTCAATGGGGGGGGGGGGGGGTCATTATCTGACACACGCCGGGGGGTGCATTGCTCTCGTTGATCTTTCCGAATGGATGCTCCATCTCGTGACATGATGCGACAACAGCACACTTGGGAATTAAACCGGACTCATAATAAACCCCAAGCTGGGATCTCGTTTGCTTCTTACACCGTAACCCCTTGGACCCCCCCACCCCCACCCCCCACGCACTGCTCCTCAAACCCCTTGCCCCGTGGGGTGAAATAGGATCGATAAAAATTAATTTAATTTACGCCAGGGCCTTTGAAGAGGGGCCTCGTGAGTGACACCGCAGGCCCCGCAGCTGCGGATTAATCGCCACTTTTGTCCCCTACCCGATAGATTTAACCATTTGCAAGCGCCATTCACTGAATAATGGCAACATGATGGAAAAAAATGAAATGAAATATGATGAAGTTGAAGGCATTTAACAAAATTCCAGGGTACTGTTGTTTGACCTGGTTATTTCCATTACAGCTTGGTTTGTGTTTTAATCGAGCTTCTGTCCGTTTAATAAAGCCGAGTGGTCGCAAAATTGGTTGAGTGACTACATCACTGGCAGTGCCAATATTGTCGCTAATCGCACGCATGCCTCTGGTCCGCGTAGAAAATACTTTGCAAAGGACGCAAGGTGGTGTTTGTGAATTTCCAACAACGACAGCAACAAAATAAATTGCAATTGTAAATTATGATTTGACAACCTGCGTTGCGGTACAACGCCGCATATCTGCCCATCACATATCCACTCCGACAAAATTAATTAACCACCCGTTCGCAGTGCAGAGTGCTTGTGCATGTCCACAAATCTGATCTATGCAACAAATTCGCCTCTAACTCAGCCACCAGGCAGCCCTGTATGCGACGTAGTCTCAGCTATTTATCCAGCAATGCCTTGGCTGAATTCTCTGGCCGATTCCTTTTGTCGGTATTTGTTATTTCTCCTCCATGTAGTAGAAAACGCAAAGTGCCCGGAGAAAATCCAGGCATGCGAGGGGAGAACACTCGAACGCGGAACTTGCGGTGAAATTTAATTGAATTGCTTAATTGAAAATTCGCGTCTCGATTTGCATAATTGGCTTGGAGCAGGGGAGGCAAGCCGTTAATAATCGCGCGCGTGCTGAAGTGAGCTGTAACTAAGTTCGCCTGTGATGCTGAGGAGTCTTCAACACCGTTATTAAGTGATGGATGTTTGAATTTATGGACCCTATTAATACATCAATAATTCATACGTTAAAAAACCCACATATCACCCTTGGGAATTTAGTACCTAATTACGCGAGTTACACGAATGGTTTTTAAAATAGACGCTTTAAATTCCTACCCGTGGATGTGATTGTGTGTGTGTGTATGCATGCCTCTGCTTGTGTCTTCGTGCTAATAGTATAACCGTCAGTCAATCAAGAAACTATTCAAACACATGAATCTATGTATGAATTATATATATACAAAAGTTTCAAATACAATGACAATTTCTTGAAAAATAGTTTTTCATGAGATCTCAAGCTAAGCAGTTTTGGGCTTGAACAGTGCTTGGATGGGCGACCACTACCGTTCATAACAGCTCCTACAGGCTGCTGTGGTGCTACTGCTGTTCAGCAGAGGGCAGTGAAGTAAAACCTGTTGTTGTACCGTACTATGCTTCAATATCTATGCTCCCCTCCACCAACCCGCACGGACAAGCGCGATGACGTATGGTCAACATAACGTTCCACAACTCGCATGGCGCGGTTGGGAGGTGTGGTGGGGGGGGGGTCGGTCGGGGAAGAGCCCTCATCCAGCAGTGGATCGATGGATTAAGAAAGTGGCGGTGCACGACCGAGTCTATTTTAAATGAGGTACGGATGGATTAAACGCATGAACGTTCCTGTTGACCCAAGCAAGAAGAAGTGAGTGAGTTCATTCAAAACAAGGAGAGACAGGTGAATGTTTTTCATGTAAGAGATATATTTTTTACGAAATGAGATATCACGTAAGAGATATATTATATGTGTTAGGGAGCATCGTGGGGAAATTGCCAATTTTAAAAGTTTAGTAGTTGAAATGCTGTGGGAAAGAACTATCGTTAATATACAGTCACACGAAAATGTTTGTAAATATAAAATAATGAATTGCTTTAAAAGTAACCCTCAAAGATGAGAAATTGGGTGGCTCAGGTGGCTAATGCCACCTGAGAAATCCTGGATTATAATCCGGGTTTCAGCCACTCACGATCATCAGAATCTGTATTTATACTGGAAGAATCCGATGAGCTATAAAGCTCTCTTTCACAGATGCCCAGTAGGGGCGGGTCAGGACGTTACAACAACAACAAACAGTACAAACACACGATAGAAGTGCAAAGTATATAGGAAAGGTCATGGAATCACTTACAAATATACAAATGCAACTAAACGTTTTAATCTTACACGGTAAAGCCCACTGAGATATGAACTTCGTTTACAGAAGCGACCTGGCCGCAACGGACAGCTTAACAAAGTGGCTTATCACGTGTAAATGTGTAGCAGCTGTGAACACTCCAAACAAACACACAAACAAACAAACACAAACAAACAAACACATAAACGGAGTACCCGAGCGTCGACGGTCATTAGTCTCAGTCCGGTCACCAAAATTCCTGCGCAAAAAAAATAATTAAATCCCATCACGAAATACTTGGCGCGTGTGACTTCATTCCGCTTATTCCTGACTCGAGAATGTGAATCTTTTGATTGGCATGTGAAGAATATCGCTAGCAGGAGGCTCGT